TTCCGCTCTTGCAATCCCTTCCTCTCCAATCTCTCCGCACTGCGGGGGGTGGGGGGGCAGCAAGTGATTTCTGTAGGCAATCTCTCCTTTGCCTGACCCTTTGCCAATCTCTCCTTTGCCAACACGATTGCATTGCTTTTGATGTGTAGAAGAGCAGACAGCTTCCGCTCTTGCAATCCCTTCCTCTCCAATCTCTCCGCACTGCGGGGGGTGGGGGGGCAGCAAGTGATTTCTGTAGCCAATCTCTCCTTTGCCTGACCCTTTGCCAATCTCTCCTTTGCCAACACGATTGCATTGCTTTTGATGTGTAGAAGAGCAGACAGCTTACGCTCTTGCAATCCCTTCCTCTCCAATATGTCTGCTCTGCAAGTGGGGGGGAGAAGACAACACAGGTCAGGCACAGGACAGCACGTACTGACTATAATGGTGATCACGTGACTGAGGGACACTGCAAAGCTTGTAAATAGTTGTAAATTGGCCATAAAGTTATTTTATCAGCACCATCATAACTTTGAATGGTCACTGAATGAGTGGTCAGTAAGCAAGGATTACCTGTACATAAACTGCATGGGTGATTTTAATTTACAGAAACAACTATTTCAGTTAGTGAACATGTAGATTCTTTTCTGCATACAGCAATTTAAGCTAAAGCCCTGAAAATAGCAGCAGTGCTACCTAGAAAGAATATCTTTTAAAAGGAGTTTTGACATAAATAGCTACAATCCAAGGAAATATTTAGATGTGAGTATATGCAGTCTTTAAAGTTTTATTTATACAGACAAGTATAGCAGTAACTCTTGCCTCTGAATAGCTAAATAATTTGAATCATTGCCTTTGTATTGGACTATAAAGTATTCTCAGTCAAAGATAAAATTCTTAATAAGATTGTCTTCTGAAACACAAGAATAATAGTTGCATTCTCTGTGCTAGTGAGAGCTTTTCAATAGAATAAGATTTAAAAGATTTTTTGATCCACTGTCTTCTCCAGCATATTGTTAGTCATTGTGGCCAGCCAGATGCTTAGGAATCCCACAAAGGGAATGTTGAAGGTAGTAGCTTTGGAGTGCCATTGCCCTCCAGAAGTTTGCCTTACTTGGAGATACAGGTGGTCCTCGACTTACGATCACAATTGGGACCAGAATTTCCATCGCTAAGCAGTGTGGTTGTAAAGCAAGACATCAGGTGACTGTATCGCTTAGTGACAGCAATCCTGGAACTCCCCATTGCCATCCGGCCCCTGCTCTGTAGCTCACATTGGAAGCTGCTGGCCATTCGTGAGGCTTTCTCCTTCCTCCTGCAAAGCCACAGCACAGCACGAAGGGGGCACAGAGCAAGCGAAGGAGTGAAGGAGAGTGTGGTGCGAGCAAGCGAAGGGGGAAGGAGGGTGCTGGTGTGAGTGAGGGAAGGACAGCGCAGTGCATGCGTGTGAGTAAAGAGGGGAAGGAGGGTGCTGGTGTGAGTGAGGGAAGGACAGCGCAGTGCATGCGTGTGAG